AGGGCGGAAGCATCGGCTACCGATGGAGGAGCTTCTGCAGGGTCTCAGCATTATCCTCCGCTTTGGTTTAGACACGTGAACGTTGCCAAGCCGAGAGCTCGGGGGGGCTGCGCGCTCGTTCTCTTGGGCTCTGAAACCGGGTCGCGCAAAACGAGCTCTCCGGGGCTGCCGGCTCCTGACACGGCCTGGGCGCCGGGTGGCTTTCGGGACACGTGGACTCACCTCCTGGCTGATGGTTTGCTTGCAGCTGTTTGCCATCTTCTGAAGCCCTTTGGCGAACTCCATCTCTGGAAGAAAAAAGGTTGGAAGTGAAAAGCCGTGAGGGACACCAGGAGATCCCTGTAGGTTGGGTTCCTTTTGAAAAATCAACCAAGAACTTTGGGAATGAAGTTCACCGCTGCCCTTGCAGCGCCTGACTCCCTCAGCCTCGCTGATCGTAGAGGCCCTTGGCCTGTTTGGATGCTCCCGCGAGGGGCTCAGCCCCACTCTGGAGAGGACCCACCCGCCGTCCTCCCCGTCTCACCCAGCGTGGTCCTTTTCTCCAGGTATCCGATGAGGTCCTTCATGTACTTGGAGATGTTTTTGGCGTACTGGAGGGCAGCATCCACCCCCCGCTCGCAGCGCTGCAGCATCACGTCCACTTCCTCGGCAGGAGGACGGCCTGCGATGGGACGAGGGGGAAGGCGGGGAGAGAAAGAGGAGAGGGACGCTGAGCCGTGCCGCTGCCACCGTGTCACTGCTCCCTCCAAACGCCCAAGAAGCCCAGGACAGCCTGGCTCGCCCCTGCAAACCTCCCCGAATCTGGGCTGGCATCATGCTGTGCCGATGCCCTGCCGGCCCCCGGTGCCAGCAGCGACTCTGCTGCCTTTTCTTGGCCGAGGAGCCGTGTGTGACTCGGAACCGCGGCAGCGATGGGGAAGACGCTGGTTCCTGCCGGCCGGTCTGCTGCCAGGGACCCCGCCACCCCAACCCTGCGCCCAGAGAGCCGCCTGCTTACCCGTGTCCTCGCTTTCCATGCCCGAAGGCATCCCGTCTCCTCCGGGCCCGGGGATCCCCCCGTAGAGGCTCTCCATAGTCTTTGGGAAAGAAAA